GGTTGGTGGTGGGTGGGTGGGTCAGTGGTTCAGTGGATGAGTGGTTTGGTGGGTGAGTGGGTGGGTGGATAGTTGGGTGGGTGGGTGGTTGGGTGGGTGGGTTTGTGGTTGGGTGGGTGGGTCAGTGGTTCAGTGGATGAGTGGTTTGGTGGGTGAGTGGGTGGGTGGATAGTTGGGTGGGTGGGTGGTTGGGTGGGTGGGTTGGTGGTTCAGTGGATGGGTGGTTTGGTGGGTGAGTGGGTGGGTGGTTGGGTTGGTCGGTGGTTGGCCAGGTGGGTGGGTGGGTGGGCGGACGGACGCGTGCTTTGGCGGGTTAGTGGGTGGGTGCGTGGGTGGCTCACAGACACACGGGAATCCAGTGGTAGTTTCCCACCGCCTATCTGCCACGTCGAGCCACCGGCCTCACGAGGCATCTGAACTCGCGCTCGGGGTCAAGCCGTGAGCACGCGGTGTCACCCCGCGTCACCTGCGCCCGTCCCACCACCCTGTGCATTGCAAGCGCACGGCTCCCGCGGTGGAAGGAAAACAAATATCCAGTGGCCCGGATTGTTCCAGGGGAAGATTTGCCGATTTAGTTCCGGCACGGACCCCCTTTCGGCCCCTGCCTCACCGCCCCCCCCGGCCCCCCCCCGGCCCCCACCCCCCCCCATCCCCCCCCCGTGTACCTTAAGCCTCTCGGCGTGGAGCCGGGCCTGCAGCTCCCTCTGCCCACGCAGCCGCTCTCGGTCGCGGGCCGCTCGCTCCAGGACCCCCCGCGACCGATCCTCCGTCGTGTCGCGCGCGCCGGATGCTCGCCTCCGCTCCCGCCGCTCCCTTCCGTCGGCGTCGCCGGTGCCGCAGCCGGTGCTGCCGCTGCTGTGCCGAGATTTGCGAAACGCGCTCGTTTGTCGGGCGGCGGGTCCGCGGATGAGTTCGGCCGGACGTTGACCGGGGCGTAAACGGTGAGCGCGCCGGGCAGATATTGCCGGCTCAGATACTGATTGTTGATGTTGGCTCGCCGGAGTGGCCACCACTCACCGCACACGTGGGTTCATACACCGCAGCATCGACGGCCCGCCACACAAATCGGCACCAAGGCGGCGGTGACGTCACCACATCGCTCGCGCCACGCTCGGTGCACTTTGAGGCCTTTCAATGGAGTGTGGAAGGCTCGCTTGCTGGCGGGAGGTCACGGGACAGACCCAGGTGGTGTCATGGGTTGACTGACTGAGTTGACTGGCACACGCACACACACACGCACACACACGCACACACACACGCGCGCGCACGCGCACGTGCACACACACACAAAGATCCCCCGTATAGCCTGAACAGACTGTAGGGGCAAGTGCTGTTAGCGAGCACCTATGAAGGCCGGAACGGCACACGAGGGGGTGGGTGGCCAGCACCACGCCCGACCGCCTTTGTCTCCCTAGTGGCGATGTTTACACACCGCACCAGGTACTCATTTAAGGCTGAGTCGACCTAGGGGAGGCCCAGGACCGGTTCAGATAATCGTCACTGGTGTTAGCCGTGAGCGGGAATCGAACCCGGGTCGCCAGGTTCATAGCGCAGCGCGCTAACCGCTACACTACCGCTCCCCACCAGACACACACATACACACACACACACAGATACACACAGACACACACACAGACACACACACCCACACACACAGACACACACACAGACACACGCACACAGACACACAGACACATACACCCACACACACAGACAACAACAACAACCGCCATTCGCCACTAAGTGGCGGTGACGTCACCACGATGCTTGTGCCAGGCCAAGTGCACCTTGAGGCCACGTGAAGTGTCGAAAGCCCGCTGGCAGGAGGTCACGGGGCAGACCCAGGTGCCACGGGTCGACTGACCGAGATGACTGGCTGATGCACCACCTGTGCCCCCTACTGTGCCAACTTGCTGTGCTTTCGCCACCCGGCGCTCCGCTCGTTGTTGTGAGCGTCGCTCCTCCGCCCTCCGTTGTTGCTGGAGGGCGACTGCCTCCAACTGCCCAGTAGCGTCCTTCACGAGCCTCCTCCACTGAGGCCGATCTTGACACCGCTGGTACCAGTCATCGGCAAGTCCACTCAGCTCCACGTCCTCCTGTACCACATCACTCCATCTCTTCTCCAGCCCGTGCCGCGCCCGTCTAGCCCCCTCGATCCGGCCGAACAAAAGCTGTTTAGGCATGCGGTGGCTGGGCATGCGGGCTACATGACCCAGCCAACGCAGCCTTGCCTGCCGGAGGAGCTCACTGATGGGACTTTGCCCAGATCTTTCAAGGATTTGTGAGCTCCTCACACAATCCAGCCTGGTTAAACCCAGGATGGATCGTAGGCAGGCCAGCCTAAATGTTTCCAACCGGCGAAGATGCTCCACCAGGGGGGTCCACGTCTCGCAAGCATAGAGAAGGGAGGGAATGACCGTGGCCGAGAAGACCTGAAGCTTCGTGCGGAGCGACAGACCAGGTAGCTTCCACACAGCGTTACGCAACCGATGAAAAGATATTGCCGCTCGACTGATTCGGAGTGAGACCTCTGCTGATAAACTGGAGCCGGTCATAAGCACACTGCCCAGGTATGGGAAACTCTCCACTCTCTCCACAACTGCCCCATCACCAATTGGGAGTTGTGGGGGTGGAGTGTCCGATGGTACAAAATACCCAGGCAGGTGCTTAGTTTTGGTGGGGCTGATGGTAAGGCCCCACCTCTTAGTTGCACGCTCCAGTCTCAGCAGCAGCGTCTCCAACTCCTCTTCTGAATGAGCAGCTATTACCAAATCATCGGCATACATAACGTGGTTGACCAATAGGGAGCCATCCCTTGATCGCACCCGGGCATCGATCAGCCTCCCATTATATCTGTACCAAATGGAAATTCCCCCGGTACAGCAATTGAAGGCTTCACGAACTACGCGGTCAAAATAGATGTTAAATAATGTGGGAGCCAGAGGACATCCCTGTCGCACCCCAAGGTGTACAGGGAAAGGCTCTGACTCCTGGCCACGTAGTTTTACCCGGGCCCGCTCACCATCATGAAGGTCCTTAATGATCGTGAGCAGAGGGTCAGGGACTCCGAAAGCACGAAGAACAACCCAGAGCCCAGTCCTACTGATGGTATTATAGGCCTTGACCAGGTCAATAAAGCAGAGATGTAGGTCTTTTTGGAATTCCCTACACCTCTGCTGTAGCAGACGGACAGAAAATATGGCATCTGTGCAGGACCGCCCTTTCCTGAAACCGCACACACACACACACACAGACACACACAGACACACACAGACACAGACACCTACACACAGACACACACACACACACAGACACACACACACAGACACACACACACAGAGACACACACACACAGACACACACACACAGACACACACACACACACAGACACACACACACAGACACACACACACCCGCACAGACACACACACAGACACACACACGTCCACACGCGTGTGCGTGGGTCGTAGTGGAAGTGTGGAATCGGCTGTGAGCACGCGCTGAGCGCAGGGATTGACCGCTGGGCGCGAGGGCGCGTCGGGGGAATGTTGAGCCGGCGGTCGGTAAACAAGAGGGTGCAACCGTGCACCTCCGCTAATGGAAAAACCCAATTTGAGCGAAACGGGAACATTAAGTCGTAACGGCCGCGCCGTCGGGCACGAAACGCCGTCCCCCCCCCCCCCGGCCTAACGGCTGAGCGCGACGGAATAGCGGGCTTGCGCTCGCGAGAGCAAAAAAAAAATTGAATAAAACCAAAGCGTAACTCTTTCGGCAGGGATCGCACTCGCGGATTTAGCGGTTCTCACCACCACCAACCCCCCCCCCACCACCACCTTCATCGCCGTGATATTAAACCGCCGGGGAATTAAACCGCGCCGGGCGGGAGGGAGGGGCTGGGTGGGGAGGGTGGGCTGGGTGGGGAGGGTTGGGAGGGGCTGGGTGGGGAGGGGAGGGTGGGGAGGGGCTGGGTGGGGAGGGTGGGGGTGGGTGGGGAGGGGAGGGTGGGGAGGGGCTGGGTGGGGAGGGGAGTGTGGGGAGAGGCTGGGTGGGGAGGGGAGGGTGGGCTGGGTGGGGAGGCGCTGGGTGGAGAGGGGAGGGTGGGGAGGGGAGGGTGGGCTGGGTGGGGAGGGGCTGGGTGGGGAGGGGAGGGAGGGGAGGGTGGGGAGGGGCTGGGTGGGGAGGGTGGGGCTGGGTGGGGAGGGGAGGGTGGGGAGGGGCTGGGTGGGGAGGGGAGTGTGGGGAGAGGCTGGGTGGGGAGGGGAGGGTGGGCTGGGTGGGGAGGCGCTGGGTGGAGAGGGGAGGGTGGGGAGGGGAGGGTGGGCTGGGTGGGGAGGGGCTGGGTGGGGAGGGGAGGGTGGGGAGGGGAGGGTGGGGAGGGGCTGGGTGGGGAGGGTGGGGTGGAGCTGGGTGGGGAGGGGAGGGTGGGGAGGGGCTGGGTGGGGAGGGAGGGACTGGGTGGGGAGGGGCTGGGTGGGGAGGGTGCGGCTGGGTGGGGAGGGGAGGGTGGGGAGGGGCTGGGTGGGGAGGGGAGGGTGGGGAGGGTGGGCTGGGTGCGTGGGTGCGGTGGCTGCATCAGTGACCCGGGTGCATTGCACGGCTCATCTTCAGTGGTGGAAAAAAAAAAGTTAAAAAGTCCCCGAGCGCACCACGTAAAAAAACAAACAAAAACGACAAACGCGACGCGCTTGAACCGACACGCGCGTGCCCTCGCCAAACTCTCACCGGTTCGACCTCGGCTCCTGCTCGACCCTCCGCTGCTCCTGCTGCTGCTGCTGCCGCCGCTCCTGCTGCCGCTCCTCCTGCTGCCGCTGCCGGAGTGCGGAGCGTAGCCGCGCCGCTTCCCTGCGAATCTCGGCCTCCTCGCGCTCCGACCCGAGCGTCCGCTCGCGGTCTTCGCGCGCCAGGACCCTCCGTGCCTCGGCGTCCGCTGCGGCACGGTCAGAGGCCTCAGCCCGTCGTCGGCGGCTCTCGGCCGCCCGTCGATCAGCGGCCTCCCGCACCTGTAGGGGGCCCGTCCGCAGAGTAGAGGTCGGGAAAGCTGCGGTCAAAAGGCTGGGTTTGAATCATGGCGTTCAGCTGCCCGGTTATTGAAACTGTGAATGTTATTCATGGTGAAGGGTTTTTGGGTTGGATGGCTTTAATTTCTAGATTTGAAGTTTTCGTGGCTGCAAGGATCGATACTCTTTGGTTTTTTTCGGTGAAGTCACGTAGGTGGGAAAATAAAAATGAAAACAGCTAAATTGAATCACGAAAATAAAATAAAAAAATGAAAACAATTAAATTAAATCACGAAAATAAAATAAAAAAATTAAAACAATTACATTAAATCACAAAAAAAAATGAAAACAACTACATTAAATCACAAAAATAAAATAAAAAATGAAAACAACTACATTAAATCACAAAAATTTTATAAAATAAAAAATGAAAACAGCTAAATTAAATCACGGGGGTGGGGCTGGGTGAGGGGTGGGAAGGGTGGGGCTAGGTGGGGTGGGGCTGGGAGGGGTGGGACTGGGTGGGACTGGGTGGGGAGGGGAGGGGCTGGTCACCCCGTGGTGCCCTTATAAAACTCAACGTTTAACCTACTCACGCCGGCTTGTGCCCGCCCTCACAGTCGGGCATATTTGCGGAATACACCACGCCGCCGTTGACCCTGCAGGCCATTGACCGAGCAACCCGACGTTCCTACCAGCTCCCTCCGCAGGAAGAATCTGTTACGCTTCCAGGCCGCAACTAAGCCTGCAGCTGTCAGAGCGGTAACAAGTATTTGTCATTTCTCTCCATTTCAATGGGTTCTCGAATCCGTCTCGGCCAGTAATGATGAGTTTTACATGACACTTCAACGTTATCGAAATCAATTGAATGTATATATATATTTTCCCCTACTCACCAACTGAGCTAAGCAGCTCTTTATCAGCATAGAACCACCATACTGTGCGTCACGCCACGGGAGTGGCTCCCTAGCAGGACGTCGATCGCCGTCGGGATGAAATTTAGCACTGCGTCCGGCGGGTACCTCGACCACACTGAGACCCGTACCCTACCCGATACCCGGCTACCCGTACCCGGCCGGGTACGGGTAGCCGTTTGCGACCCTGGTGCGGCCGGGTACGGGTAGGCCGTGAGTCACTGGTGAGTCACCGTTTGTCACTCATTTCCCAACGTCTTGTCTCTTCTCACGATTCAAGTTCATAGAATCAACCCACCCGCGCCTGCAACATGGCTTCATCCCAGAGGTCGCAATCAGGTACCCGATACCCGTACCCTACCCGTACCCGGCCGGGTACGGGTAGGGTACGGGTACGGTACGGGTACGGCCGGGTACGGGTACGGGTACCCGTTTGCGACCCTGGTGCGGCCGGGTACGGGTACGGGTAGGCCGTGAGTCACTGGTGAGTCACCGTTTGTTACTCATTTCCCAACGTCTTGTCTCTTCTCACAATTCAAGTTCCTAGAATCAACCCACCCGCGCCTGCAACATGGCTTCATCCCAGAGGTCGCAATCAGGTACCCGATACCCGTACCCGTTTGCGACCCTGGTGCGGCTGGGTACGGGTACTGGTAAGGAATCAAAACCCATTTGCGACCTCTGGACTCTGGTGAAAGGTTCCCTTGGGGCACGATGAACAAAAATCCCTGCCGAAATTACGATCCGTAGGACCGCCCCGGGCTGACGGCTCTTCATCCGCAACATTGTCCGTGAAACTTTAAAGACTATGAAAAAATAAGAAGAGCTTTTTACCCTTTCCGGCAACCCACGGAACCGTTATCGTGAATAATACCGATCGCAAAAGCACCGCGACTGCATGTTAAAGCCAAGTCTCCAGTGTCCGCTTGATGGCAGATGGGGCGTGCGTTTGGTACATTTCCCGACAGGAATTACCAGGAGTGTGGGGGGAATTGAATTAATGGGCTGCGCGAATTGAAAGGAACTTGGCAGGGCTGACCACTGCGAAGCTCAACGAAACATTTCCAATTAAAGGAGCCCTTTTAAAAAGGAAAGTTGAACGATTTAAAAAAAAACCCGTTTTCATTTCGTACATTGCGTCATCCGCGCTAATGCCAACCCACAATGCTGTGCGGCAGTCGCTCGGTTAACTCATTCTTTTGTTATAGTAATAATAACATAATATTATATAGTAGTAGGTTTTTACCCTTTTAAACTGGTACAAAACTGACACCTTAATTCAAGGCATCATGTTTGCAATAACCACAACACAAGTAGTCATTATCAGAGTTGCATCTTTTTGTTTGCTTTTTGTGACTACTTGTGTTGTGGTTATTGCAAACATGATGCCTTGAATAAAGGTGTCAGTTTTGTACCAGTTTAAAGGGGTAAAAACCAACTACTATATTTTGCCACTGGTAAAAGAGATGTCTCATAGAGTAAATGCTTACCCCGAGCTCTCAATACTCTGATATTGCACTGTATTTGAGTTGTACGCCTTCTGGTGTCATCTGGTCCAACACCAATGGGGACTAGGCTCTAAAGAAAAGCTGTCTCGGGTGTGGACCAATCAACTTCAATGACAGTGCATATCATTATCATTATCAGAGTTGCATCTTTTTGTTTGCTTTTGTGACTACTTGTGTTGTGGTTATTGCAAACATGATGCCTTGAATAAAGGTGTCAGTTTTGTACCAGTTGAAAGGGGTAAAAACCAACTACTATATTTTGCCACTGCTAAAAGAGATCTCATAGTGTAAATTATATATTTCGTATTTTTTTTTAAATTTCCCTTCCACGTGACTTTACCGAAAGAACCAAGAAGATGAATCCCTGAGGTCACGAAAGCTTTAAATCGAAATTTAAAGGAGCCCTTTTAAAAAAACGAAAGTTGAACGATTTAAAAAAAAAAAAACACGCTTTCATTTCGTATATTGCGTCATCCGCGCTAATGCCATCCCACAAATGCTGTGCGGCAGTCGCTCGGTCAACTCGTTCTTTTCGTATCAGCTCCACGAAATAACTGTTGATCGAATGTAGCAAGAACCGGTTTCGTGGATAACAATTTTTTTCACGGACCAAGAGGGGGGGGGGGGGGGGGGTTGGGATGGAGCTTCATCATTGGGTCCCAGAGGTCGCAAACGGGTTTTGTTTCCTTACCCGTACCCGGCCGCACCAGGGTCGCAAATGGGTACCTGTACCCGTACCCGGCCGGGTACGGGTAGCCGTTCCCTACCCGTACCCTACCCGAAATGAGTGACAAACAGTGACTCACCAGTGACTCACGGTCTACCCGTATCCGGCCGCACCAGAGGTCGCAAACGGGTTTCGTTCCCTACCCGTACCCGTACCCTACCCGAAATGAGTGACAAACAGTAACTCACCAGTGACTCACGGTCTACCCGTACCCGTACCCTACCCGAAATGAGTGACAAACAGTTGCTCACCAGTGACTCACGGTCTACCCGTACCCTACCCGAAATGAGTGACAAACGGTGACTCACCAGTGACTCACAGCCTACCCGTACCCGTACCCTACCCGAAATGAGTGACAAACAGTGACTCACCAGTGACTCACGGTCTACCCGTACCCATTCCCTACCCCAAATGAGTGACAAACAGTTGCTCACCAGTGACTCACGGTCTACCCGTACCCGTACCCTACCCGAAATGAGTGACAAACGGTGACTCACCAGTGACTCACAGCCTACCCGTACCCGTACCCTACCCGAAATGAGTGACAAACAGTGACTCACCAGTGACTCACGGTCTACCCGTACCTGTACCCTACCCCAAATGAGTGACAAACAGTTGCTCACCAGTGACTCACGGTCTACCCGTACCCGTACCCTACCCGAAATGAGTGACAAACGGTGACTCACCAGTGACTCACAGCCTACCCGTACCCGTACCCTACCCGAAATGAGTGACAAACAGTGACTCACCAGTGACTCACGGCCTACCCGTACCTGTACCCTACCCCAAATGAGTGACAAACAGTTGCTCACCAGTGACTCACGGTCTACCCGTACCCGTACCCTACCCAAAATGAGTGACAAACGGTGACTCACCAGTGACTCACAGCCTACCCGTACCCGTACCCTACCCGAAATGAGTGACAAACAGTGACTCACCGGTGACTCACGGCCTACCCGTACCCGTACCCTACCCAAAATGAGTGACAAACGGTGACTCACCAGTGACTCACGGTCTACCCGTACCCTACCCGAAATGAGTGACAAACAGTTGCTCACCAGTGACTCACAGCCTACCCGTACCCTACCCGAAATGAGTGACAAACAGTGACTCACCGGTGACTCACGGCCTACCCGTACCCGTACCCTACCCAAAATGAGTGACAAACGGTGACTCACCAGTGACTCACGGTCTACCCGTACCCTACCCGAAATGAGTGACAAACAGTTGCTCACCAGTGACTCACAGCCTACCCGTACCCTACCCGAAATGAGTGACAAACAGTGACTCACCGGTGACTCACGGCCTACCCGTACCCGTACCCTACCCAAAATGAGTGACAAACGGTGACTCACCAGTGACTCACGGTCTACCCGTACCCTACCCGAAATGAGTGACAAACAGTTGCTCACCAGTGACTCACAGCCTACCCGTACCCTACCCGAAATGAGTGACAAACAGTGACTCACCGGTGACTCACGGCCTACCCGTACCCGTACCCTACCCAAAATGAGTGACAAACAGTTACTCACCAGTGACTCACGGTCTACCCGTACCCTACCCGAAATGAGTGACAAACAGTTGCTCACCAGTGACTCACGGTCTACCCGTACCCGGCCGCACCAGGGTCGCAAACGGGTACCCGTAGCCGGCCGGCGTCATCTGGTCCAACACCATGTGAGAGACTAGGCTCTAAGGAAAGCTGTCTCGGGTGTGGACCAATCAACTTCAAGGACAGTGCATACATTATCAGAGTTATGTCTTTTGTTTGCATTATGACTGCAGGTATTGTGGTCTATGTAAACATGACTCCTTGTAAAAAAAAAGGTGTCAGTTTTGTTGCCAGATAGAAGG